AAGGCGCTTATTGTCGATTGGTTGAGTTGACGTGACCAAGGCGGCTAAATGTGGTCTGCGGACATCCGCGCATTGAAGCAATACGACCTTGCACAACCTCACGGCTGTTCCAGTCGCTGAGCCTCTGTTGCGGGACGCTACGCGCCGAGAAGGGTCATCGTGGTTCGGGTTCAAAGTTCTCTCGCGCGCCACATCGGGCCCGACCCCGCCCGCCGACCGCCGGCCGCGTCTTCTTGAACAGGACGACGATGTCCAGCTACCAGCGCTCAGACAGCGGATCGACTTTGCGCCTCACCGGCAATCTATCTCAAGCTCTCAAGCTCGTGTGATCGTAGCCTATCATTCCTCCATGGATTGCGTCCCACAGCGCTCACCGGTCCTGGGCGCTGTTCATCAAGTATGGAAGCTCGGTCGACAATGCACTCATCAGCGTCCTACTCTCTGCCGCCCACCGCCGATTCACTGAGTGTCTTCCCACCTTTCATTGACGGATTTGAGGGTAACTTCCGATGCGTCTGGAGGACGGTGGCCGTCAGACCCCGTTCTTGTCTCGCAATCGCCAGAAGCCAGCCAGTTCGCGTTGCTGGTCCTCAGCGGGTTTTTGCCCCGATATCTCGTGAGACCACCGGATTCTATACCACCTTGGATCCACTGGAGAAGGGTGCACGTATCCCATTCCTTCTTGGCCGGCACTGGACTCGTGATGCTGCGTAAGGTCAGGAAGGCTTTCCCGAAACGCTAGCTTTCTTCTGCCATGTTTGCCAGGGTTTACTCTGATGGGCACGCGGCCATCGCTGTCTTTCTACTGCACGTGCCACACGTTCGAATCTGTCGTGCATATATATGGCGCGTGGTGTACCGACCCAACCGGCCTGCCCTACTGCCACTTCGACATCCTACTCTTCCTCCCTCTTCGTCATGTCCGGCAAAGATCGCGTTCTCAATGTTGACCAAGCCGGTGTTGTCGCTTCTATCCTTTGCAACGAATTCCTGCCCATCATACGCCAGAATGACCCCGAGTTGTCTGGCTTCGCCGTCGTCAGGAAGTGGGTGTCCGACCGCCTGACCCTTCTTCTGTCTACCCATCCCCTCTTCCTGACGGACGAACTAACAGAGGCACGTCTGCTTCGAGTGGTATGTATATGGCCACCTGTGACAGTCCTTTACAATATCACGTCATCCTTTAGGCTGCCAATACCCATTTTCGCAACTTTTATCACAGTCTTCGAGTAGAGGATACTTCGCTTGGTGACTCGGTGTTGCACTATGCTTCGTACGTCGCAAACTGTTTGTGGTACATTGTCGCCCAGAGTTTCTAACGTTTTGATCATAGGACAAGGGTGATGCGCACGAGGAGCGTTTCTCGCAAGGCTGGTTCGCATACGGACCGCCTCTCGTTGCCATCCCCTGTGGTCGGTGAAAACAATGTATTCATCTCCCAGGGTTACAAGTTCAAGCTCAAGAAGCGGCTACAGACCAGGTCTTGTCATTTGTTACGCTGTGCTTACTCCCGGTCTGACGCACTTCCTTACCAGCTGGTATGTACACTTAAAGGACTATCAGGACTGCGGTGGTTGTGTGATTAAGCCAAGTAAATTCAACGATCGCAAGGAAATCCTGTTGATGGTGAGTATCTCGTGATGATTATTGTCACAGGAGGCTCATTTCTGAGTAGACTATCATCGCACGCGACCCAGAGTGGCTGGCCAATCAAGAGGATATGGCGAAATATGTCATAGGTCGTCCACGAGAGTCTTGAGTAGAACACAGGGCGAGGACATGGACTGGCCGTGACCCGGTTGGATTCTTGAATAACTAGGTCTGCGCATTCAGCTGCTCATCTCTATACGTGTACTAGAATTTATACTTCATCGCGATCAGAATTGCCTTTGAAATTGCCTTCAGTTCGTATCATTTTGGGTTGCGACTATTGGGCGAAGAGACGCAGTTGTCATCCCCGGACAGTATGCAGGAGCAGAGATATACTTTGTATGGTTTTGTACATCCTCGCTGCGTAGCTGATGGAAGAAGCTGTGGAAGAGCGAGCGGGATGCGCGAGGTCGCCGTGGGGCGCGACGGTGGGAGCCAGCGCGGAGGACGCCGGCCCGACGCCCGCCACCGGATCGGCTCGTTCCGGCCCAGTGGCGTACTCAAAGTTCGATAAGGAGGGGCCGTTAACGGGCTCGTTAACGGTTGGCGCGTCGTTATCGAGTCGACGCGCGTTATTGAGGTTTGCCCATCAGCGGCAACTCGGCGCGCGGTGATGGCCGGTGAGCCGACAGCGCGGCGAGAGGCCTCTTTCAATGC